GACACCACCTTTTCCTCCTTTTCTGTATAGATATTTTATTTGTTGTGCTCAACACACATCACCTTCAATGTTGAACTAGTTTAGTATGCTCAGTAGCTGTTGTTGAAGTTTTATCCCCGTCAGAAGATCCAAAGACCATAATTACACAAGAAGAAATTATTCCTTCTCTTCACCTATCCTCATAATCTCTACTGCTTCCAAGAAAAGGATCTATCAACCTGTCAAACCTGTCTTCCTATTGTGAGGAGGAAGGGAAACAGTTCCCCTTATCTCCATGACCCCAAACCACCAAACCTCCTCAACCTCCTCGAGCAAGAGTGAAGCATCTGCTCTCTCTTGCATTTTGCCCTTTGCCAAACTGGACTCTCCCTTCCCTAAAGCCTGACGCTCGCCGCAAGTGTTATAAATGGCACTAATTAGAATCCTAGTTGCCCATTAACTCTTTTATTATTCATGTGACATTTATGATAAATGCATTATATTACTTACAAATGGTTGAGGTGGCACTTACACACAGCAGCATAAACTTTAGAGTCATGGGATAAATCATTTAACAAGAAGACAAACTAACTACAGCAGTTATGATAACCACTCACTGCAATGTATAACATTTAACTCTTCTGAGTTCAACACAAGAAATAAAGTAGCTTTGTATTCTAGAAGTGCAGGTGGACCAGTCATTTATATTTCAGCAGTAATATCTTTTGCATCAGTGTAAATACTTTCAAAGATGGCTTTCTATAGCTAGAGAGTATTGTGCACTGCACATGTAGTTCATAAAACAGAAGAAAACCCCTCTGCCTTTCTCCAACACGAGTCTTCCACAACAGCAAAGTTGTGCTTTCTCAGGATTACCAGATCTTCTTAATTAAGTCACAAAATTCAGAACAGAATAACCCCGATGAACATAAACTATGTTCATAAACTGTATAGAAATGGATTTTATTTGTACGTAGCAACTGCTACTTCCAGAATTAATTACAAATATGCTGGACTGTGTAGAGTATGGATTAATGTCCTGATTCAGCAATATATCTGTATGTTTAACTGCTCTTCTAAGCTAAGGCTAGGAGTAAATTGTTTGAACAAGTAATTATAATTCTTTAATTTGCCAGAAAACCAGTAAAGCTTTGTGCAGAATCAGCTACCCTTGACTTTTTGCATCCCTTCAGAGACCTTAAAAAAATCCATATGCATAGTTATCATCCTGCAATCCTCTCCATTAAATTACACATTATTCACCATCAAATCTATCTGTGAAATCAGCCAGTACAGACTAGTCACACTTCCTATAGATTAAAAGTCTAACAAAAAAATAACTTCTAAAAATAAAGCATTGTTTTAAAAAACCCCACCTAACATCAATAACCATAGTTTTGAAAGCGTCATTGCACAGAGTATGTATCAGTACAATTTGTAAGGGTTTTTTAATAGCTTGCTGAATTCTTAAGTAAAGAAACAGTAAAAAAAATGTACTTTGAAGGCACAGATAAAAATGTACATCTATTTACTTGAGAAGTCTGCAAAGCCTGTTCTTTCATCGTTCCAATGTGAAGAAGCAGTGCAACTATTTAAAATCAATCACCATGGGAGCTCACAACAAACAAAAGCCGCATATTATATCCCCTCCCAAATGTAAAGGCCACTTCTGCAGGAATAAATGTTGTAGCACCAGGAAATACTTTAACAAAACAGATATGTACCTGAAGAACTAAAAATAAAATAAAATCAAATCAATAGATCTTGCAGACAAGACATGGTCGATCCATCCTGAAAGACCTATTTTCAAATGCCTACTTCCACAGAATCACAGTATTGCTTTGTTCATCATGTTGTAGGGGGAAGAGGAAGAAAATCCCAAACCATGATTTTGTTGCAAACTGCCCAGTAACAGTAAAAAGGAGTACCAACTTTTCCAACAAACCTGAAAATACCAACAAAAAAACCCCTCCAAAATATAAAATGTGAAAACATTTTTTGTATGAATGAAGAAAGTATTTAAATATAGCCTTTTTATAAAGCAATTTATAATGCGATAACATCCATTGCTTATTTTTTGTATGATTGTATTTACAGTGCACTGTTGGAAATATTTAATTTCAAGCCAAAGTAATTTGCTTTATCCTCCATGGTTTCTAAACAGCACGAGACCACTGATATTTCTAATTGCAGAAATAGTTGCATTAAAAGTCATTAATTTTGGTGACTCTGTAACAAATATTTAGAAGACCACAGAACTGATAGCCTACAATAAATTTTGAAGTTAATCTAAATTTCAATTCAATAATGCAAAAAAGAATAAAAACTCCCAAATTTCTTTGATAGCGTATTCCCAAACAGCAAAAAGAACAACCAGCAAATTCCCAGCCAACCTGAACGTTGTTCTTTTTAACTGCTTTCCTAAATGCTGCAGGAGATTTTAAAACAGATAAAGTGCAGTACATTACTGGTGTTAGTCCAACTGAACTTGTTGTTCAGAAGCATCACACACTTTTTCCAAAGTAAATTCTACAAAGGGAACACTGCTATTTCCCCAACAGAGCACTGAGAATAAATGTCAGGATCTCCTACCTCGATCAAAAAGTCTCCAGTTCTCAGGCCAGCTTGCCATGCTACTCCCCCTTCATCCACAGATTCCAAGTACTGCAAAGCAGGAAAGGCTGGAGTTGGGGTGAATTCTTCAATTGGTGTGTCAGCTTTAAAAATAAATACCACATTAAAAAAAAGAAAGTTATGGAATGCTTGTAAATACCACTTGACTAAAGGCCTACTACTGGCCATTCAAACTGATGGTTAAAAAAATGGTGGGTGCTAAAAGTAAGAGGACTCTGCCTCAGAGGATATCAAGATGCTGGGAACAGAGTGCAATCTCTCTGCAATAGCAATCCACAGGTCTTCAATTCAGAGAGAAAAAGACATGCTGCTTTACTGACACAAACCAAATCAAGCTGTATGAGGCAATAGCTGGATCCTGAGTATTCCAGGATATTCAGTATTAGTTCACGTAAACCTTTTGTATGCCTAGCAAAATGCTTGGAACTCTGGAAACATCCAACTAAAAAGGAATTATGTACTGTAGCCAGAAGAGAGCATCCGGCTGAACTGGGGGGATAGGGTGGGTGGGAAAGGATGAGAAAGACCAAACTGAATTTTTCTTCTAGATTTAGATGTATATTACAAAGAAGATAACAGGAAAAAAAAATCACTTTTTAGGAAAGGAGGCACAGCAGGCCTTGTAACAACCCCCTCTCTCTCTGTCATGTACACGTACAAGCAGAAAAGTCCTTGGGTCTTTCACCTGAGGTGCCCTCATCATTACAGAGAAAATCTGGGGACAATTCTCGGGCTTGCACAGAGGGAGTAACCTCTGCTCGGTGCACAGACAACTCCTGCCAATGGCTTAGCTAAAAGGTAGCACTATTGGCTCTCCTAGTAGAACTCCAAAAATTTTTATTTAGTTAAAATTAGAAAAGCTTTTATGACACTGAAAATCTATGGTGGCACTGGTTTGGGGGTGGGGGAACAGGGAGAGAAAAAATGATGTCCCAAGAATGAAGATATGGAATAATTTTCATGCTCAAGCAAGGCAAGGGAGAACCCATGTAAAATGAGGGGGAGTAAGAGATGGGACATACCATCATATATATTTTTTTAAATACAAAAGGAGCAAACTGGACTGAAAGTTAAAAAGCGAAGCATTAAATAGAATGCTTTTTTTAACTCTTAAGAATGCCATTATTATAGATTTTAGTCTACAGAAAAGTAACATGCAGTTTAACATATGAACAGCTTTTAAAATGAGCACACTACAGGCCATGCAACATACGTGCAGCTTCTGAAGATATAAAAAAAGATCATATTTTCATACTAAAACTGCACCAATGTCACCTTGCAGAAGATCCACACCTATTTTAAACAAAACATCACTCTCTTGTCTATTTCTATTCGTAGACCTATTTAAATAGACTGACATTTGAAATAAAGAAGCAGGTTTTATAAGGAAAGCAGGTTTCCCACAGTTAGGTAAACTGCATAACAAAACAGATTAATGACAAAATATTACATATACCAACACAATAAAAATACAGACAAAACTTTCTCCCCCCCAAAAACGATTATACAGTGCTTCTCCTATGTAAAAATGCAAACTGCTTCAGAGAGAAGCCACTAAAATCCATCTGAGTAGTATAGCATACAGAGAATCCTGTTGTCTAGCAACCAAGTGCACCAGGAATAATTCCTGCTTAAATTCAGAGATGTATAAATTTCTTCATGCCAGTGCATATCACACACACACACACACAGAAGCACATACCTTTTGCCCCTCTGAGCACAAATCCAAATCCTTCATTGTCTTTTTTCTGCAGGACCACTGCCTTTTCTTCTATTATGCAGTCACTGTAGAGAGAATTCCGAGGATAGCGACCATTATTACATCCCTTCATCACCACTGTAGTAGCTGCTCCTCCAGTGTGCAGGTTCATCATCATCACAGCCCGTTAATCAAATAATATTGCAGTAACCAAGCATGGGAAAATATAGAACAAATAGTAGCGATGGGAAGACAAAGACAAAGCTTAATGATAAAAGAGAACATGACAAAGCAACTTAAAGAGAATAAAAAAGGCAGAGAGGAAAAAGAAAGAAGAAGAAATCATGCATGGTGGTTTGTGTTCTATATGAGTGACTGAATGAACATGTGATCATGTAATCTGTGGGCTAGCTAGGACTCTAAAAGGAAAAAAAGTAAGTGAACTGAACGACAGTATCATTAATAAACTCCTCAATCGTGGATGTACCAGATGCATCTTCTAGTGAAGCCAAAATGAAACCAACCAGAAGAAAAATGAGGCAGCATTTTAAATTTAAAGATAATAAATTATGATTTTATATTAGCTAACTAAAAGGCACAAATATATTCTGAAAGCTATGCCTTGCATCAAAAGCCCTTTTTCAATCCTATTGAATGTTGCATGCTGCAAGAATCCCACATGATCATCTGACAGCCTACAATGCTAACAACGTGCAGCTGCCTTGGCGTCATCAAGCACAAATTTCCACAGCATCAAGAATCTGCATAATTGAAATAGTAACAAGGCATGCACAATCAGGAAAGCACATTTCTAAGGAATATTTCCCATCTTCTGAGCAACAATTAATATTATAAAACAAGGAGATGGTATAAAGGACTATTTATGTAAGCAGTATGTCCTTAAAGAGAAAGTAGCCTCAGGAATCTTACTGTCATTGGCTAAGAAAAAAGTAGACAGTAGATGAAGAAAATGCATAAAATCCACATTAAAATGGGACTTTTCATACTCAGGGAATAATCTGTAAAAGCCTTAAGTTGTTTAGTGTCTTTCATTGAACATTAGGCTACTAAAAATAAGCTCAAAGCAAAAAAAAAGAAAAAAAAGTATTTGGAATGCTCTTTTAAGTATAAAACCATTACACAGCACAAGTTGCACGGCATCCTTCTGAATAAAGATAGTGTCAGGGGTTAAGTATTCATGAATTGTAAGCACTGCAAAACAACATGCTATGTTGGCTTTCAAATACCTACAAAACTAGGTAGGACAGAGAGAAGTATGAGCAAGTTTTCTTTTCTTAATTTTTTACTAGCCAACTACTGTTAGCACTGGTCTTGTACAGAATCGGTCACTAAAGCATTTAATACCATAAGAGATCGGATCTGCTTCAGTGCCATGAATAATCCAGAAGGGGAGGAGGAAACTAATTGGTGTGACCTTTTTATTTAAAGCTCTGAACAAAGACAAGGATGATGATATCAGGACACCAATGGACAGCCTCCAAACTCCAGATCTTTATGTATCACAGACTATCCTTTTGGTGACTTTCCAACTCGGAGGGATGCAACTTCTTGCTACTGCTAAAGTGATGATGTAATTATGTCTTCCAAACCACAGGGTAGTTAAACACTACACATGAATTAAAACTACCACAATGGCAACAGATGATCTCCACAAGTATCAACAGCTTTTGAATATTGTCCCTCAACTTACTATTATTTACTGTATAATTCAGACATTACCGTTTCTTACAATTAATAGCCCTGCTATGGAAATGATATAGTAAGAAAATATCTATTTCTCAAGAAATCCAAACACACTCCTGTTCAGGGGTATTGGGGTTGGATGGAATATGCAACCCACAAAGCCACTGAAGAGTCAACAGTAAAAAGCCCTCTCTAGCTTTTTCTTAATACAAGGTCAAATGAATAAAAGCCATTTCCTTCAAGTTTCCTTGTAAACAAGCAATAACATAACAGAAGTTAGAAGTTACGTTTGAGAACTTAATCATAAGAAAGCATTTGGTTCAAAGAACAACTCTCTCCTCTCCCTTACCCAGATCCATCTCATCTCAATTCATTACTATAAAGAACTCAGAAGCCTATTAGCTACGCACCTCATCAGATCCTGATCCAATTCTTTCATTTCTGTTGATAAAACCAAACAAATTCATAATATCATTCCTTAAAAAGCTGAAGGCTGAACTTCCAAAAGCAGTGCTTGGAAAACTTGAGATCAATTCAGCCAATCAACGTTAGGCATCTACACATCTACCCCTAAAAAAAGGCATCTAGGGTCCCTTCACAGCCAGCTAAGGAAATGAACAGGCATTTTCAAGTTACGTTGTGTTCATCCCAATGTAGAGGTCTATGACTGTTCAGATTAAAAGTATTAAAATCACCTAGGATTTTCTTTTCACGTACAACACATTTATTGCATAAACTATCCAGTTTTATACTTGAATTTAAACATTGAAAGTGGGAATACTAAATTGCCAAAATTGTATTAAGTTCGGTGTTTTGCATGCAAGGGGGAGAGGGAAAGAGAAGCGCAACCCGAAATTTTGGTAACAAAATGTACAAAGTTATCTCTATTACTTGACAAATACAGCCCACTAATATACTGTTTCAGTCCTGTACTACATAAGGAAACTCCATCACAGCTTGTAAAGCAAAGATGTAGGTTTGAAAAAATCAGATGTGTAGCCATTTCTTCTCATTTACATGCTAGGAGAAGGGGACCTGCAATAATCTTGTAGTATGAACAGTTTAAAGTTGTTTAAAGCAATCAGAGAAAGCACATTGATTCTCTGTACACACCCCGGTGCTGCAGAGCTAAGAATGAGCAGCAGGAAAAGGATGGCAAACAAACACACACACCCAAATGAACCAAACTTGCAACCTCCGCACCCTTTCTCAACTCACTTTGTATCCCCAAGAGAAGGGGGCAGAAGCAGGGAAAAGAAGTTTAATCTCTGACTGTTTGCAATATTGCTTCTTGTTTGCTTTGCCATGATAGGGTTCTCTTATCTCAGTGTCAGACTGGACCTCTTCACTGAAGACACGCTGATGGTCTGTTCTCAGTCTACCTGGTCTTGGCAGGCAGAGCAGTGCCAAATGTAAAAGTAGGTCAGAATTTCTCACAATGAGCCTTCTTGGCAGTATTTGTGTGATCCTAATGATATTGTAAATACTTAGCAACAGAATGCTATAGAGTGCAGCTACCAGTGACAAACAAAGGCAAGGTTAAATCACAAGCCTGTTCAGAGGTCATAGCTCAAGCAAGGGGAAAAGGTATTTCTTCACAGATGCTTTGAATACAGTGGATGGCTCTACATGAGGCTGAACAGTCCTAAGGCAAAATCCTTAAAGTCCATTTCTGTCCCATCTCCAACTGAAATTAAACAGCGTCCATTTCAGAGACAAGTTTTCAGAATATCACTAGTTCCATATTATGGTAATAAAATAAGTAATTTTAAAATCAATAGCTCATTACTTAAATAGGGCACATATTACTTTGACTTTGGGCTGTATAAGTCCAAGATTCATTGCATATAAAGTGAAATGCAGAATACATCCTATTAAGTGCAGAGTATTTCTGCATGAAGTACAATCTTAAATATAAAAAATTCAGGCCAAAAGAATGTTGATCTAAAATCACTTTTGCTTTATCTAAACACTAAATATTAGAAAACAGACTTCTTCATTGGTTCACGTAACTTCTCTAACACTTTAAGGCTCAAGAATTGTGCAGAGCCGTTAGAATTTCTGTAATTTTACAGACTTACCAATGGAGAAAGGAAATAAAGAGATTTACCCATGGTCAGCCAGACACCTGAGATTTGAACTCAGCACTGTGCAACGTAACAACCATCATTTGCGTAGACTTTTCAAGACAACAAGAATTTCTACTCTGCTAATAGCCCATTAAGACAATACTTGAGGAAGGAAGTAGAATTGTGAAGACCTTTATAAAGAAATAAGGTTGAAGCACAGGTTCCTGATAGAGGCAAAACCATGAAACATAGCTTCTATTTCACAACTAGAATAACTACTCCCTATCTTAAAACATGATTTACTCCAAAAGCTAAAATACTAAATTACAGAGATGGAAATTATCAGGACCATAGAATATATTTAGGAAAATCTGTATTTTATATGCTGTCTTTATTGGATGTTGAATACTTGATATCCTTGGTAAAAAATGAACAGTTCTTCACTAAGTTACCAAATATAATAATAAAAAATCATTAATGAAGTGATTCAATAAGAATTAGGAAGTCAGAAATACTGCTTTTGCCAGCCCTGTGACTGACAGAGGTGCCCAAAGGATTAACCATAATTATAAAGAAGCAACCTATGTTAAAGAAAGTAACAGTGCTATATACTTCAATAAATTTATGCTATAAAACATTACAAAGAAATACAGGTTTTAAGAGAAACATTAACTTTTATGACACAAGTGCAAAGAAGTTACACAATTTCTTTATGCAGAACCAAGGAGAAACTTCCTCTTGTTATGTATGTATAACAGTCCACGTTCTTTTATCCAGCCTTTAATTACAATTAATATCATATTCTTTGGTAGAAGAAGGGAGTAGGTAATCTAAAGTAATACCTGAGTCAATTGATTTGGTTAGTACTACTTTCAGGTTTTTTTCCCTGTTTTCACCTTAAGTTTCTGAAACTGTAACCACTAAAGTAACATCTTGATACAGCAAAACAGGAAGTCGAACAACTTCCTGGAAATAGAAATCATCCAGTAAAAGGCTGATTTTATATTATACAGAAATCTCAGGATAGGATATGAAGGAATAAAAAGTTAGTGGCAAGGGCATGATCCTATATATATACACTCATATAAACTATATATATATATAGGGTATGTATGTACCGATATGTATGGATATATGGATATCCATATATGAATATATATACACACAATAAGATGAATATATATAGTCTTTTTAAAGATAAATATTATTCTCTTGCATCTGCACTGGCAGAGAGAAAACAGAAAACCATGGTGGGGTGGGGAGAGTGGCAAAGTGAGATGACAAAAAGAAAAGCTTCATTCCTCTATCTTAAT